TTTGAGGACCATTAGGGCAGTTAGAGAAGAGAGGGTAAGGTAATACCTAAAGAAAATTAATCGCAGACATACCCAGTACCTCAGGAAATACTTGTCAGAAGAGCAGGTAAAGCCAGTGGAGAGCAAGAAGTACCTGGTGAAGGGGAAAGTGAAGGAGGAGACCCCTCCCTAAACTGCTGCCAAGTCTGATTAAACTATACTCTAGGAGTGCAATAGAAGGGGAAGTGATTTAGAAAATCAGACTTGGACCCATAAGCCAACACCAGGAGTATCGGCTCAGTAAACCCAGAAAGGGACAGGATGAGCACCACATTTAAGCCAGGAGTCCCATCATTCCTGCAGTTTATTCTTCCACTCTTTCCAGGTTTACTGTCTCTAAATAAACTTTGCTTTGCCTAGACTAGGCCTTGTATTTTCATGGCCTTAGTAAAGGACTGAGGATTCCATAAAACCTGGTAACATCTAGTAACCCCAAAACCTGGTAATTGGCTCACTGCCCAATCCCTGCTAGGCAAGTAATTAACTATGCTAAATGAGTTCAAACCTAATTGTCCTAAAGGTAATGAGCTGAATTTATCTCCCTACTTAGTAATTCTACGATTTTTAAGGAAAGAGTCTAAATCTAAAGTTACAGTAATGTGGAATTGTTGCTATGAAGGATAATTATGGAGGAATCAAGTATTTTTATTAGTTAAAATGATCTTTAATGTTTAAATATATACATGTTCTGTGATAATCACATTTTTGTAAGTTTTGGAAAATTTAATTCTTTTTCTTAAAGTGTTTTAGTGTTATTATGACTAATACACAATAATTTATAGACTTGTCAAGAGAAATATCTCTGACCAAAATGAAACAAGAGTCAATTCCCCACATGATAGATTAAAAAAAAAAATCACAAAAAAGCTGGTGACTGTAGTGAAAAATTGTTTTTAATTAAAATGGGCCATTTGAACAATAACTACATATGGTGTTTAGATTCACTGGGACTTTTTCTGAAAAGATATATTTAATAGCAGAAAAAGCTTCACACCATCTAGTCTGAGGACTAACCTGTAGTTTAGAAAGACTTCTTTCACTTGGCTGGGAAAAAATTATCTTTCCAATTTAGCCTCTGCTGAAGCAGTTTTTAAAAGGTTCTGAGAAAAAAATCAAGCAGTTGTTCAGCAAGAGTGAGATTCAAGCAAAATAGATATGTTAACAAATTATACTCTATGACATGAAAGAACTCTGACTCATTTCTTACTTTCACTTATAATAAGAAATAAGAGCTTCATTGTTTAGAATGAGATGAGAATTGGAATTAGTCTTTTTACTGAGCGTTTGCCTGTATTCTGTTGTTAACTCCAGTCTGAATTTCGGATAGATTTGGAAATTGTAGGCAGTTCACCTGTGTAGGGTTTTTCATTTGCAAAATGAGGATTGTTCTTGCACTTAATGCTTTGAAAGTTGCAGTTTTTGTTACTTCCATTTTTGATCACAGTGTCAAGCTTTTTCTAATTGGAAGTTCTAAGATTATTTTCTCTGCTAGTCTCTGAATTTGATAGAGAAGCTGAGAGTGTTACAACTTGAAACATAGGTGTAAAATATTGATTGTGTTTTATTTTCATTTTTAATTTATTAAAGTGTTCTTACTTGAACAGACAGTTATTCCATGATATGTTATTACGGCACATTATTATGGCAATTATGAATTGAGATGGATACTTGTAGTTCCTGATTTTGTAATCAAGTTGTGTTTATGTTATTGTATGTGATAGCCTTTAGCAAAATACGGTCTTTAGATAATTAAAATAATGTCCAACCAAATATTAATTAGTGCTTTGATGTTCAGTTATCTTGAAAGCCTTTCAAAATTAGAGAAATTGAAATTTTATGTTTCAACTCAATTTTAAATAGTAGTAAACCTCAGGTAACTGGAGGCCTAAGGGAATGGAGTGTTTTTACCTTCTAGTTTTCCTATTAAATAAGTTTTCATTTGAATATATATTGGAATACTTTAGTTTTCTTTAAGAAATAAATTCAACTTTTCTTTGATTTGATGTATTTTAGCATATGTCTGGGTCATAGTATAGTTTCCAGTGCTCCAGTTACTCTTATACTAGTTCTGTTTCCTTTTCTTTAGTGATAAAATGTGTCCTGTTATCATCTATGTAATGTGAATTTAGAATCAGTATTCTCAGGCCAGATTTATTTTCCCTTCTCTTCCAGACCCACCTCAACATGACTGCTAGAGCACTTTCATTTGGCTACAGTAAACCCATCATACTCCAAACCTACTTATCTTTCCAGAATCCTTGGTTTAGTCTGTATATCAACCCAAGGCAAAAAACCCGGATACTTTCTTGAATCTTCTTTCCCACTTTCCAGTCCCCTCTTACTGACATCTGCAAATTGTTGTAATGAGTGTATTACCAAAATGGCACTTGAATCATTTCTCAATTGCCCTCTTGCAATATTTTGCTCTATTTAGTATAATTTTATCTCTCTTGGATTATTGTTAGAGATTTTTAACTAGTCTTTATCCATTCAAGCATGCTCTGTTGTCTCCAGTGGAAGCATGGATGCCTATCTCTTCAATTCACTGCTACTTTCAAAACCCTTAGGAGCCCTCCCCTATCATCCCTTCCTTGTAAGGAACTACATTTTGCTTTTTTCCCCTAAGATGACACTTGAAAGTAAAGTTGTTTTAGACTTTATTTTATGTAATTGATACACATCAGTTTATCTTTGAATCCCCAAACACTAGCTAGTTGGGTTCTCTCAAAGCCAAACAAAGTTCCCCCCATCTGGTCTTCAGCTTGACTTTCCAGCATTCATTGTACAACTCCACACAAACCTTGTGCATGGTGGATCTTGACTGAGGCCTATGCAGCCGATACAGGTGCTGTCTTCTGGGACAAAGACAAAGGATTCTGACTGGTCTGGATCCTAAGGATCCTTACCATAATCTGTATGTATATCTTCATTATTGTTTATATTTTAAATTGAAATCCTCTTTTCTGATACTCTCAGAAATGAGCGTTGAAGTTGATTAAAGCTAGAGTTAAAAAACATGAAGCATTCATACTTGAAACATTCTATTTCAACATAAAACATTCGTTTGCCAGTTTTTCATGTATAACCACATCATCTTCTTTGAGTGTGGGTACTTGATTGGAATTCATAGTTCATTCTTGATTAAACTGAACCCAGAATGCATTCACTAGATTTCTCATTTAAAAGAAAGAACTCAAGCCACTTATGCAGCAACCTGAATGCAGAATCCTAGATTTTTTTTTTCCATCTCGGCTGCAATCCCCATGGACTTCCCATCACCATTTCACCCGTGTGCCATCACCATAGTCCTGTGCACTCCCCGCCCCCATTTTTGATCCCATTCCCCACTCCACCCCTACAAAATGCCTCTGGTATATAGTTGTTTATTATTATTATTATTATTATTCATTGTTCCTCTAGTCCTCTATGCTCCTGCTATGAGTGAAACCACTTGGTATTTTTCTGCTTCTTTCTGGCTTATTTCACTAAGCATGATCCCTTTCAGCTCCATTCATGTTTCCACAAAAGGCATGTGTTAATCTTTTTTGATTGCTGAGTAATATTCCATTGTGTATATGTACCACGTCTTTTTAATCCAATCATCACTTTTAGGCATTTGGGTTGAGAATCCTACAAAATCAGTTGCTTGGAGTTTGGTTAAGTGTAATTGTTTTTATTGCTTATCTTCCTTCATTACAATATATGAATATTTATTTTTATTTTTCTAGAGTATGTATAGTGCCTACTATTTAGTAGATGTTTAAGATCTATTTGTTGATGGAGGGGTTTATGTTAATTGAAATAAGCTCTGTATAGGTAGAAGGGTTGGTTTGTTGATGGTAGATGGTGTTTGTGTTGAGCTTGGTGTTATAGACAGTTAATGATGTGAGAAACTGCACAAGTGAAAGCTATACAGTGTTGTAAACTAATGTTACATTAATAAAGAGAAAATGAAAAAAATCTAAAACAAATGTTTGTTGGATGAATGACCAAATTCAATGAGATATACTCAATTTGAATAATCAGAAATAACAGTGCCTCAGAATAGTGCAGCTGGTATAGACAGATCATTGACCCTCACTTCTCCTTTGTACTCTTGAGCAAATTCTTTCTCCTCTTTAATTGAGGGATGGGGAGAACAACCACCATTGCTTGTTTGAGGATAAAAGGTGAATATGAAATGACAAGCATAGTGCTTGACAGAGTAAGCAGTTAACAAGCGTTGGTGTTATTTACCTGTTAGGTAGAGATGGGAGAATTCACTTGGTCCAAATTTTTTCTCATCAAAAGTTGAACTTAATAATCTTGCATTTCTTTCCAGCTCTAAAATTCTTTCATTAAGCATTGTTTCATGTTTGGAGGGATTTAGATGACAAATATCTGGATATTCTTTGACTTGTCATATTTGTAGATTCAGTAAAGTAGGTGATTAGTTGATCATAAACTTGCACCTAGAATAGCAGATACTTTCAGGCATTAGAGCATCTTCTGTTAGTGAAATAACAGCCCACCTCCACAGTTGTCATTGTCACACTATAAAAGAGCTAAGTTCTGAAGCAGTTGTTTGGAAACATTAGCTTAGAAGTGAGATAAAATAAGGCTATGGAAACTAAATTTATGAACCAAGTAAGCTTTCAGTTAAATATAGGTCCAGGTAAAACATAATAGTAGTAGTAAAGAGATGTACTGTATTCAACACACCCTTTTTATTCAAAAAGCCACAGATGTGTATCTGTTACAAATTTAGGTTTTCATGTTGATCACATTTTCTTCCTGATTAAAAAAATGGGAGAGGGAAGAGAAGGAAACAAAATACTTTTTTTGGAAGGGTGCTGCAGTTATTTTCTATTATCCATCTCAAATTTTGCATTGTTTTAAGAAATAAGTGATTAGCAGGATTTCTTTCAGTATTCATTCTAGAACTAATGCTAATACTTAGGGTTTTATTTTTTTAATTGCAGTTATCATTTGGTATGGATGGAGATGAATTCTTTGGAGAAAAAACATTTCAGCATTATTGTACAGAATTCATTAAGCATTCACAGCAGATAGGAGATGGTTGGGAATGGAGGACTTCAAAGGTAAAGCAGAAATGTTTATTTTCTATTTCACTGGAAGTGTTTATCCCATATAAAATGTCAGTAATTGAAACTAATGCATAAAAGTTTGATTTAGGATAAGGCTTAAATTCAAAATATTTTAAGACAGAAGATGCTTTATTCAACTAATATATAAAAAATACACATATATATGTATATAGAAAAGTATATATATACTTTCCTAGATAATACTTCATTAGTATAATACTTCATTAGCCTAATCATAATGTTTATATATACGTTATATAAATATAAACATTATGATTATATATATATAAACATTATGAAAAGGCTAATGAAGTATTATCTAGACAAGTCCTTAGATGACCTGCTTTAATGTTTAGCATATTAGCTGAATGTAAACAGATGCTTGTGTGATGCTTTAAAGGTTTTATTAATTTTCTTAGGAAACTACTTTTGTCTAGAGAGTGAGAAAATAATTATGAAATCAAATCTTAATCAAACAACCACAAATTCTGGAATTTTGTGGACTTTGGGGGCTGGGAATCTTTTAATGTAAAAACATTGTAAATGTTTTCTTTTGATTTTATTCAGTTATAATATTCCATAAAGTCTGTGTGTAATTATATTTACATGTACATTTAATAAGTTTCTTTGCCAAACTTTTTTAGAGTTCTTGAAATCTCTTCCTTAGAGACTGAAGTCAGGTTTTCTACTTGATAACCCTATCTGATTCCTGAAGAAGTGATGAATCCTGATTCTTTGCTGATTGGTTTTGTTTCCTATATGCAGTGTGAGAAACTTGAACAGTCTTGAGCTGATTTCTATGATTCAAAATTAGACTAGGGAAATGCAGGTCTTGATTGGTCCAGAATGTCACTGGGGAAAGACGGTATGATCTGCTCTTGCTTTTTTTACCAGCTAAGTTAGAAAGGGTGAGGTTATATTCTTGCAGGTTCCAGCCCCATTCTCTTAAATTAATGACTGGACTGTTCATAAATCCTTTAGGGCATTTCCTGCTCCAAGGTTACAAGACCTCACTAGCAGCTCTTACTAATTTTGTTTCTGAGTATTTTATAATAATTTTTGCTGTTTTTGAATTTTTATTCATCTTTGTTCTTTTATGAATATGATCACTAAATAAAAGAACTGCTATTAATTTTACCACCACTCAGTCACTTTACTGAATTCTGTTTTTTGTTTTCAGTTATTCTGTGATTTCTCTTATGGTTTTCATATCATCTTCAAATGAATGGATTTTTATTACCGTCTTTGTAATATTTCTATTATTTTATGACTTGATTAGAAAAGTGTTAAAGGCTAGGTGAATGGTCTCCTTATTTTTAGTCTGACTTTACTATATAATGAATAAATAAAATATCCGTTATTTAGTCACTGAATGACCCCTTTTGACCTGTTATTAATACTTTGCTTGATTATTCCGTAGGGACCTTCCCTTTTTGCCAATTTTTTAAAAAGATGTTTTCTTTTGTCTTAAGCTGAAGGTTGGATGGTAAATTCTTGTTACCATTTAGTAACCTAGTAGAATGAGGGAAGGAAAAATTAGGGAAGAAACGGAGTGTGTGTACATGTATGTGTGTGTATGTGTGTGTGTGAGAAAGAGAGAGGAGCCTAGGAGTGTGTGTGTTTGGAGGAAAGTGGGGGCTAGAGCACTGGGGAAGATCTCCAGAAGGGAAATTATTCTTGTCATAAGTTTCTGCATTGAATTAATTCATTGAAACTAGTATCCCAAGAACTAGTTTCCAGGATTCATTTTTATTCTTGGTGTGGCCTGTTCTCAGCATGGGTATGGCTGAATAACCTACGTTTTGTTTACTGCCATTGCCTGCTGAGGTAGGGACACTCTTACCTGTTGCAGTGAGAATTATACCACTAATTAAGGACATTTCTTTTTAATGTGTGTGTGCACGCAGGTGTGTGTGTGTGGGGGGCACTTGTTAAGCCCATCGATAATATCAAAACAAAGCAAAATACTTTTCCACAAAAATCTTGATAGCCTTAGGGTCAGGACTACAGACTAACAGCCTGGAGACCAAGTGCCATGATGTAAATGTGCCAGTGCCAGGGGCAGGACAACTTAGAGACTGACGCTTATTGTCTGTAGCTGATCATAGTTCTTGGCCTATTGCCAGGTGGGAAACATGGGGCCATGGCTTTACCAGATCTTACAAGAAAAGTCAAAAAGATTTCGAGTCAGAAAACTTGTAAGTTTTTAAATGTTGGCAACTAATTAAAAAAGATTTTTTTTCAAGCACTGTGAGGACCACATTCAAACTGGCAGTGATGCTCTGGATGGCCTTTTGATAACCTGGGGTGGGGAGACATTGTGGGCTCACTGGATTATCCTCCAGCCTTCTCAGTGTTTGCTGAAGATCTGAACTAGTGAAAGGGGAACCAGGCAAAGCAGATCTGTCTTATAGATTTGTTAGTGTTTTTGCTGCTTAATTTCTGAAATCTTATACCACCTCTGTAAGGAAATGGCAAATCAGTCGTTTGATTCTTTCCTTCAAACCTTTTCTCTGTGTTAAATCTCAGCCTTTTGGGGGGACTGTCTGAAGACAATACTTAGACTATCATTTTATACTCTAGAGATGTTTTTATGTTTTATTAAGAAAATTGTTGTGTTGAGGTACTCTTGGCAAAAGATAAGCTGCATATATAAAAACAGTTTGACAAGTTTAAATATATGTATAGAATACATATATACCTCCACTATCGAGAGTAAATGTATCACCTACAAGAGGTTCCTTGTACCCCTTTTTAATGCCTCTTTCTATCCCTGACAATTTTTTATATAAAGAATCTTTTTTACCCCCATATACAGAGAATCTTTAAACAGGGTACACATTGTCATTCATACTTTCAGGCTTGTTCATTGATCCTTTTGGCACTATGGATTTTAGAATCATGACAGTAGTTTCTCAGTGGGGCTGGATGTTGTTGGTATCTTGCTAAGTAGTTCTCCTTATTCTTCTCTAACATTTCCAGAACTCTCAGAATGGTGTTTCAATCCCCTCTGACATGTAATATGACGGTTTGTCAGATATTAAAAATACAGGTAAAAAGTACATGGGTTTGAGAGTCAGATAGAACCAGTTTCAAATGTTTGCTCAACCATTTAGTAGCAGGACTAATTATTTAATGTCTTCAAGCTTCAATTTCTCTCTCTATAAAACAGAAATAGCAATAACACTCACCTAACAAAGTTATTGTATAGATTAAATGATATTTGCATTCAAACAGTTTAACATAGCGTTTGGCACAAGGTTACAACGATTGTTGAAAATCTCAGTGTCTTTCTTCACACTGAGACTCAGGAAACTCTCTGAAAGCCTATTCAGTACCAAATAAACTGAAGTCTGTTGCCCTGAATTCTCTAACATAAGAAGGGGAACCGAAGAGTGGAATCAAAGAAGAATAGGAATCTAAAAATTCTCTTCAGTGACCTTATCAAAATGTTTGCAAGCTTTTCTTTTGCAGTCTCTGATCTCATCAATATTTAAAATCAGATGCCTTTACCTTAGTTCAAGACCACAACATTTTTTACCTGAATCACTTCAACAGCCTATGAAATCTCTGTTTCACTTGCTGCCATGGTTAACCTTTTAAAACTATCTTTGATGGAGTTCCATTTTCCACATGACGATTTCTCCGTGTGTTTTATTTGAACTCTGTCTTATCTTGGAATTATGTAGAAACACCATAAAAGGGTGTTTGAGGTTCTACAGCTTAACTTCCTGGCACATCTTCATCTTCATCATTCACCTTCCACTCTTGCCACATTCCTAGAAATAAAAGAAAGCTATTTTGAAAAATAAAAGGGCCTTTTTGATGTACTTGGGGATGTTGATTATGGACTAACATACAAGATGCTAGAAAAGAACAGATTTTGCAAGTGTGGCAAAATATTGATACACTAAATATGAATAATGTATACGTGGATTCGATTTTATCAGTATTTTTTTCAATTTTTATGAATGTGACATACATGCTTTTTTTCTACTTTGTCACAATTTTACTCTTATTCCTTAACTTTTATTCATACTTAGAAATGTTCTTAGCCTAATCTTATATTCTGAATATAGGATTCACAAATCTGAATATAAGATTTGTGTAGTCATTAGAGTGTCACCTTGCTTTCTAAAAATTGTTTCGTTTTGTTCTTGTGTTTTTGCTAAGTAGATATGAGTACAGTGGTTTAGGACCTCAGCTGTGATTTGACCTTTCACAGGTTATTGGTAAAAATGATTTTCCTTAAGTCTTCAACTTTCTTTTCTTACTTTTGTGTAGTAGAAACAGGAACAGAAAACATTTAGATACTAAAATCAAATATCCTACAAATCTTGAGATTAGATTTTATGTAACTAATACCATATCATTTTGTATGTTAGTCTTAAAAATATTGAAGACCCACTTTCAGTCCTTATCCTCTTCAGTTAAACCTGCTTTATTATATTTTGAAATTTACACAGTAACTCATTAAAAATATTTTAATTACTTCCTTACAGGTTAAGAACTGCTTCTTGAAAGGGCTTGTTTCTTAATTTATATCGACTAAAATTTTTCATTTTCACGTTATTCTCAGTAGAAATTTAAACTGATTTTATGATTCCTTCCTTTCAGTAACATTTCTGGTTAACTCATATTGCTTTTCTTGAAACTCCACAATTATGCTAATTACATCAAATTCGTATTTTAAAAATAGATTCTAAAAGATTTCCATATTTTATTTTATTCCATCTTTCAACACTGTCTGGGTAGAAAGTCCACCATGCCCTTCCCATCAATCTTGCTGTCCTGCTGAATTTCACACCTCCTTTATTTGTGTAGCTATCTTTATTTTTAATGTCTTGTTGTGAAAAATTTCAAGTATACAAAAGTAAAGAGACTAGTATAATAAATTCCAATGTACCTATCACATAGCTTCCACAATTATCAGCTCACAGCCAGGAACATAATGTTATAAAGTATTTGTGGCATATATGAAATGATATAATATA